GTCTAATTTTTTCATAAATTTCTCTACTGGCTTGGGCCGGATATTTTATTTAGGTAAGTCCAGTTTATTTATTTTCAGTCCTGGTTTTATTTAGTTGATGGTGCCTATTCCCATTTCTGCACGATCCAAATTACATTCAACAATTTTCATTATTTTATACAGAATCAAGGCAATGTCGTCCGCTCGTTTTTCAATTCGCTTAGCGGCGCCTTTCGACATCACGTAGAATTTGATTAAAACGAACAATTTTTGTCATATAAGTTTGTTTTGAAATGGCTTTCATGATGGACTTTTCTCTATCGAAAGCAATTGTAATTTTTTCAACATTCTCCACGCATTTTTGACATGAGGAAAGAGCAAACTGTGGTATAATTGGGTAAGTAACATACCAAATTTTGTTTTCGTCATAACCAATATGAAACATTAAAATCATTCATTGTTTTCCATTTCAAATGTTGTATCGTATAATAACAATTGTGTGAAATTTACAGTATTTTTGTCATGTTTTCCTGTAGGCAACGTTTTCTACCCGTTTCTCGTTCCTTGGTCGATCTATTGCCATTGTACCAGTGGGCAATTTTTTCTAATTTAATTTTATTTAGACATAGTGTGTCTTTGTGTCATTGTTTAGTTCGATTTCCGGCGGAAAAACAACCTATAGAGATTTTTACTATTAACATTGGCTGAGTCTTCATAACTCAATGGATGACCTTGGTAGTCTATATAATAGCAAACCATGATTTTGACATGTCATTGAAACTACGCCGGGAGTCGGACTTTTTGAATTGTGTTTTGAAGTTTTTTGGCGTTTAGCAAGGATTGTTCTATTTACATTATTTGAACCAATGCCCAGACAGACATTCTTGTTACTTGTCCTGCATTTTTATTAACTGAGAATGCGTGTGATATTTAGATAGCTAATTTTGTTATATATAATTGTTTTCGTCTTTTATCGATTCCGCAAATCTTATTAAAATGGACAATGTATGACTGGAGTCCAACAATCACGTAAACACCGCCATTACTTTGTTATCGGCAGCGACATATGCAGATACAATAACCGATATACAATAATTGAACAAACTTCCTGTTTTTTTTTAAACTAATAGTGAGTCAATCAGCAATAGTTTCTTTTCGAGCAATTTTGCAATCGCGACTTGTTTAGCACAAAAATTAAAATTTCGAGGTTTATTGCCTCGCTTCTCGTTATGAACTTAGCAGAATAGTATATGGCACGAGTAAAACTTGCTATGCAGGTCATTATAATGTGCTCCAAAGCTATATTATTTCATCTGTCATCAATCTACTCTCGAGATTTGAATGTTTCTAGAGAGCTGTCCCGTCAATTTTCGCTTTGCAGGGCCACTAGTTTCTGTTCCCAGTTGTCCGCAGTAATTCAGACTTCTTTTAGTTTAAGAACCTATTTATCCTTACACTTTGGGCCATTTGCATCTAGATATGAATACTCATTCATTAGAGTAGAATGCAATATTTATACATTTGAATTTGGCGACAGTTCAGTGTGAAAAATTGATATATGTTTCTTCGCATGAATACCCAAAGAAATAGGAGCCGGTGTAACATAGTAACTGTGATATTTTCGTTTGACTTTTCTTCCCTTTTTTTAGTTCTGATAGTGAAAGTCTCTCTCTTCGATTCTTTCTGTTTTGTTTATAGTTTTCATTTAACAGCAACATTCAGTTGTGCTGGAACAACTGCACGCATTCATAGATAAAGTCAATGCGTTTTGTTGTCCGTATATGGCTTCCGTGATAAATGTCCTCGATATACTTTTAAACGTTACTCTATTTACAGATTGGCAGTCTTCAGCAATATACATTCGAGTTGATCTTTTTGGTATAATTTCCTGCTCCCTGAACTACATTTCTCTGTCTACTTTTTTCATAAATTTTTCTACTGACATCCGGCCGGATAGTTTATTTCTTTTCAGTCCTGGTTTTAGTCGATGGTGCCTATTCTCATTTATGCACGATCAAAATGATATTCAAAATTTTTCATTATTTTATATAGAATCAAGGCAGTGCCGTCCGCTCGTTCTTCAGTTCGTAAGCAGTTGGAATTTTTTTAATATCCTCTACGCCTAACGCATTTTTGACATAAGAAAAAAGAAATCGTGGTTCAATTGGGTAAGTAACATACGGAGATTATATATTCGATTGCCGTTGATAATTGTTTTCATATGCATTGTTTATAGTTTTCATTTAACAGCAACATTCAATTGTGGTGCAACAACTGCACGCATTCATAGATAAAGTCAATGCATTTTGTTGTTCGTATATGGATTGCGTGTTGAAATCGATATAGTTTTTAAAGTTACGCCATTTACAGAAGGGAAATCGTCAGCAATATACATTTGAGTTAATTTTTTTGGTATAATTTCCTGCCCATTAAAATCCATTTTTTCATAAATTCCTCTACTGACATTAGGCCGGATAGTTTATTTGTGTTCAGTTAATTTCCTTTCAGTTCTGGTTTTAGTTGACGATATAAATTTTATTCAAAATTTTTGCTCTTTCTCTGCTGTGAAATTTCATTCAGGTTATCGTTGGTTTTTCTTTGCAAATTCAACGGCTTTCGCTTGGTAAACTTTGTCATTTTTCTCCTTCGCGTGATTTTTTTGACAACTATGTTGAACGGCTCCCAGTTCGATCTTCCTCCTCTTCGGCTGTTCACTTACACAAGCGTTCCTCGTCTGATTGCAGTTTTTGTAAAATCTGTTCAAGGGTTCTTAAACTCTTTGGTCTGCGTTTGTCTACGGGCTCTTGTATATTCTTGATATGATTTAGAGCTCCAAAAATGTCAACGAGGTATGCCAACACCAGTTGAAAACTCTCCGACGAGAATGGCAACAGGATACCCTGTTTCCCCTGAGGAATAGCTTTATCTCCGCACCCATCTCGTAAACACGAGCTATCGTTTTCTACAACTATTTACCAGCCGTGTGAAACAGCAAAGTTCCATGATCAGAATCCGTATTCTGGCGAAGTGTGGCAAACAACCTCGATTTGACAGGCATTTTAGGGGTACCATCAATGCAAATCTCCACAAGGTTCTCCCATTTCAGTCGAAATACGAGGCATCAGTATTGAGCACATTGGTTGTTGTTTCACGTGATTAGCAGAACAGCATTTCCTCTTAGTTGCTAAGAGATCCAAATAAAACAAAAGGTGAAAAAAGAAACGCCACCCAAGCAACATAATGTAACGTACCGGCAGTCTATGAAATAATTATCCAAGTTCAGAATATCTTTCAATATGGTCTGACGTCAAGTTTCCTCTCAACATTCACCCCGACCCATGCTATTCTATGTTATTCATCAATCCCAACAACGGAAAGGCAGGCAGTAAAATATGAGAAAGCAATACACACCATAAAAACACTGACGGCCCCTGAAATCGAAGACACTTTCAATAGAAGCCACTTAAATAACTTCTCAGTGGTTGTGTGTGTGTGTGTGGCTGGTGGGTGCATGTGAGCGTGTGTGAAATAACCTAATAATGTTAGGTGAGTAAACACGTAGCCTACCACTTCCTCTTGGCAAAACCTTCCATCTTATATTTTGTACGTTATAAACCTTATCTAAGATTTCGTTTGCTCCCCTGATTTCATAATCAGTTTTTGTTTATTTGTTTTTATCTGTCAAATGTATTGTTATGCTGATTATGGAGTCGAAATAAACTTATAATTTATTTTTGGCAATTGACTCCAACTATAATCAGCTTGGCAATATATTTTTCATAGAAGTTTATTTCTACTGTTCACTCCCATTTATAAAATCTATCAATTCGGCAGTGGCAAACGTTATAAATTTATTAATATGGTGTGGCAAGTAATTTTATTTTTTTTTTTTTTTAACTACTCCTATGTAATTTTTAACTTCTGTATGGTTGTGTGTGTGGGAGCGTGTGTAAAATATTTCCATTATTTTAGGTGAGTGAACACGTGCCACTTCTTCTTTGCAAAACCTTCCAGCTTGTATACATTCTGTACGTTTTAAACCTTATCTAAGGTTTTGTTTGCTCTCCTGATTTCATAATCAGTTTTTATCTATTTTTTTAACCAATCTTTTTATTGTTACGCTGATTATGGAGTTGAAGTAAACTTATACCTATAGCAGCCATCAACCATAAAATCAATCTAGATATAGAAGATAGAATAGTATAGCCGGGCAATGAGCATATATACATATATATATGCTCATTGAGCCGGGCGAGGACAAAATTATTCCCAAAAGCAGCTGCAACTACGACCTCCAGTGCGAAATCGACGAAAATTAGGTCATCACTTTTCGAACGAATCTGAATTAGTCAGCAAATTATGCGACTCCAAACAGCTTTGTGGCGTGAACACTACCCTACTGACCTAGGTTATAACTTAACGCTATTGTACAAAGTGGCTAAATGGATTAATTTTTGTGGGAAGGTGGGTGTTCTGATTTTAGAGCTGAGGTCTACATTAGTATAGGGCTATATTGTTATATCGGTACTCTACTGTAATAACACTTGTTTATTGACCTTTTGAAGTTTCTCAAGTCCATGCATCTGAAACAACTGGCTAACTAATCCCATGGACTGGTAACTGTGCAAGGTCAAAGGGCTGTGGTTTGCCATGTGTTTAAGCCGCCTTTTTTTTCTTTTCTCTCCCCCAGGATAAATATGGACTAGTCTACTGTTTTGCCAGACACCCTCGTTTCAGAGACAAACAGAGTGTTTGTTTTATTGAACCAAGTGTCAGAATGTATGTACATCTTGAAATTGGTGAACTGTGCCCTACCCTGTGGGGTAATGAATAGGGCTATTGCTTTGACTTTTGGATATTATTTATTGCTAGCAAGAAGAGCCGCATGAAAACTCTGGCGAGCCTCGGTTTGCCCACTGTTGGTCTATAGTAGGCGTAGCGATAGGCCTTAAGTCTGTGGGTAGACCTGCTGTTAATGCACGTTGAGCGTTAGTTAGTTTTAGTATATGTATTTAATATTTCGTTGAATTGCTAACATACAATATCTTCGACAGTCTAAATTATAATTATACTGTATTCTTGGGGTGTATCAATAAAAGTATAAAATGACCACTTTTAAAGAAGCCGCTGGTCTATATCAGAATCTGACTAAACAATTCAATAAAAAGAAGCCTGATCTGGGTAAATGCACTGACTTGTTGAAAACGATTAAAATTGCTTTGACAGAATTGTCGTTTTTACCCGCTGATGCGACTCCAAATATACAAGAATTTGTGTTAGCAAGAGATGTCCTCGAAACAGGAGCTCAGCTGTGCATAATGAAAGAAGATATTCCAGGATTCGAGCGTTACATGTCACAGTTGAAATGTTATTATTTGGATGACAAGGGTACAAACGCACCAGAATCTCCATATAAGCACCAACTTTTAGGGCTCAATTTACTTTGCCTTCTTTCACAAAATAGAGTTGCAGAGTTTCATACAGAATTGGAGCGGTTACCAGCATCGGACATTCAAAACAACATCTATATTCATCACCCGATTTCAATGGAGCAGTATTTAATGGAAGGGAGCTACAATAAATTGTTTTTGGCCAAAGGGAACGTACCTGCTGCCAGTTATAACTTCTTTATAGACATTTTACTTGGCACCATTAGGGATGAAATCGCAGGCTGTATTGAGAAAGCATATCCTAACATCGCGGTTCAAGATGCGTTACACATGTTGTACTTTGAAACGGAATCTGATTTTGCCGAATATGCTACAAAAAGGGGTTGGCAATCAGGGCCTGATAAAAGATATAGGTTCAATGCTAAAAACCAACAAGAGGTGGAAACCACACTACCATCTTCAGAACTGGCATCTCAGGTTATTGATTATGCAAGAGAACTTGAAATGATTATATGAATATTCTGGTTACTGTTTGAAACATTCTTTGAAATTTGTTTGTTGGACAGTACACTAAAATTTTGATGTTGGATCAATCGCAAAAATTGATTTATTATTTATCGTTTGGCTGGTCAAGTTTGATATAAACTAATAATGCTGTAAATTTAGTATTTGAGGTTTTGTACTTTGTAGTCCTAGGCCTATTTCATCACAATGCACACTACTTTGCATGTTTCCATACAATCAATTTCAAGTAACACAACTAGATATATATAAAATGTCTGGTATTGTTCTTCTCGTTTTGAACTATATTCTATGACCATCTGACATGAGCATTTACCGAGATTGTGTATGTGCAATTTGTGATGCAACTGGGACTACCTAATAATGCATTCTCAACATCTTAAAAACTTATACATACTGATATTGTATTTTGTGTAATGTAAATACAGATACAGGTACCTATTAATCTGATGGCTTCTTCCCTTGAAGAGAGTGAAACTCAGTTGTTTGACATGTGTCATCAGCTTGCAGAAAAGTTGAATTCATTGAAAACTGAAGTTCAAAATATTTCCCTTTCACAAACTGCACCTAAATCTGCAGAAGACATTGCCAAACAAAACTTGAGAATTCTGGGAAATGAAGAAATAACTTTGAAGGCAAGGGAACCGTTTAAAGTAATAAACAATTCTTTGTTAATTGCCACTAACTTTGATAAAGACCTTGAAAACACCATTAAAGAATCTGATGAAATATTAGAAATGTTGCAAAAATCTGTGTTGGCTATGGAAGCCAAATTGGAAGACAAAAGCAGTGTGATGATAGAGCAACGCCAAATATCCCAAGGAATACAAAATAAACTGAAACAAATGAGTGAAAAGCACAAAAGTATTGGTCAAACAGATGAGCAATTTACGGAGGAATATTTGGAGCAGCTGACAATGAAACGAATAACATATACAAAAGGACGTAAGAAATTTCAACAAAAAATGAATGGATTCTTAGATCAATGGTTTCCTTCCAGCACAAATTCTAAGAAAAATAGAGAAACTTATAAATCGCTGAATTTCTTAGTAAAAAAGTTGATAAACTCGAGTATACAAACTCCTGAAAACCCTTATCTGGAAATAACAGATGATTTCTGGCCGCCACATATAGAACTTCTTTTGAGATATAATATATGCTGTCGCCATCAAAAGAATCCATCCCTGGTAAAGTTGTTATATACAGGTATATGAATGTCTGGATTTAAAAACCTGAATAAACCCTTTGTAATGTGATATTGCATTTTCACTAATATGATTTATGGACCAGAGTATTCAAATCCATTCTAATTAGGTCTTCACTAATTTATTAACTTCCTTCCATTACAGCAGCTTCGTTCATGAGATTTTAATTAAAAATAATCAAGTGGTAAAACAGGATGGTAAAAATAAGCTTAATTAAGGAAAATGAATTGAACAGATAAGAAATTAGACATGATTTTCAAGTTAAAAATGTCCTGATCTAGCAACCTCCATATTCTACTAAACAAAAAACTGGACATTGTTTTGGTAGCTTATCTCTCCCATGCAACTCTGGAAGTTCAACAAGACATTGACATTCCAGTACCTCAACACCAGAGTTTGTTAAAAGGTTATATGCTGCGGCCATTGTCCCTCCAGTAGCAATCAAATCATCAACGATTATAGCACATTTTCCAGCAACTACATATTCTTTTTGCATCTCCAATGTATCTGATCCATATTCCAATTGGTAAGATTGTGTCACGGTTGCACCAGGTAGTTTTCCCTTTTTCCGCGCAGGAATGAAATTACAGCCCAGTGCATTAGCAAGCTCGGGTCCAAATAAAAACCCTCTAGAATCTATGCCAACAATCATATCAATTTTTCTATTCGAATATTTCTCGTCGATTTGACCTTTAAGTAGTTCCACTATTGTATGTTGCAATGAAGGATGATGGAACAGTGGAAAGACATCTCTGAATGTGATGCCAGGTTTAGGAAAGTCTGGATACTCTCTGATTCTTGTTTTAATTTCTTCAATCTTTTCATCCCTTGAACCTAAAAAAAAATTTAATTTTTAACAACTATCTAAAGTTTGGCCTCCGTGACCACAAACTTGTGCCTAAGGGTTGTAATAAGTCCCATGATATATTAGAATGTTCAGATGGAGTTTTAAATAAATATTTAACTTTGAATGTGAGGCCTAAATGCCGGTGGACAACCATGTTTAAAAACTGCTGAGTCACTTACAGTTGTGGGTTGATTCAGATGTTTAATCAATGTTGGCTCCGGCTATCTGTGTATATCAACTTATTTCACAAAAAAACAATTGCATGACCAGTCACCGTTTCAGTCCGAGATATATACAGTACAAACCGTTATATACGTCCCACCCACCGCATAAATATCTTTGAAATAGAATGTGTCACTGTAATTAAGAACCATTGTATTAGATGCAACTCATCCAACCAACCTTTGCCGTCTCTATGTGCCATGCCGTTTCCGCGATTTTATCGTCCTTTACGCTGCTAATGAGGTCAAAATATACTTGAATTAAACAGTAGCAATATAGCCAACTCAAACTACGCAACAGTTAGTCGCTTTTAGTGATTGTAAATTTCGTTCCAAGTAATCGATACCGGTCTGGCAATGGATAGAAAACTCATTGTCATCGCCGCAGACGTTGAACGCTTGAGTGGCCTTCTGTAGAATCACATTCTGCGGCGCTCAAACAATGCTCTTCTTATGGCGGAATCGCGTGGAATTAAAGCCTCAAATCTCGTAATATTTGGTATTATACCGGTAAATTTTAAGATAAATATGTTTATACGTCCGTATATATAAACATTGTTAAAATAAAATTTATGTGGTGTATTCGGACAGATTTATAATTTGTCACAAGTGCGAGCGTATGCGTGGCATCATACATTAAATCCAAGGCGTGATATGCGATTAGAAGGTGGCTTCCGGTCAATTTGTGTGGACTGTCTATTAAAGGTCTGAAAGGCGTGCGATTGTATTTTGTTGTATTCGCCGATCGAATTCAGCGTGAGCCGCAACGTGCCGTAAACACCTTTACATCGTTATTTATTGTCGCTTAATTTTCCTCTGCCAATTTTTTTCTGCATTATCGAATACATGAAATGATGATAAGGAAAACACCATTAGTTTTTTTTGGGGCACTCAACAGATTAAACGCTTTTTAGACATTTCAAATTGCAAAATACGGCACACATTATGGTAAATTGCTTTTGGGATCTATACCATAGCCACTGAATTTGAGCAAACATTCAATTATGAGCTCGATCAATGACATTAAACAACATGATAGGCAACTCTGACGTCACTCCATAAGACTACATGCGAAAGATTGTATTTCATGATACGCTCTAATGCACATATTTCTCGTCGCCTTTCGCGACGGTTTTCCGCTTGCTTTTGCTACTCGGCGTCTTCTTTACGTGTAGTACCCGCCTTTTTGCGCCTGTAACGAAAGAAAATAATCTCTATATCTGAGAAGTTTTGCTCATTTGGAAAGCAAGAATGGCAGACAAGCTGTATAGAGTAATTCTGAACATCATAGACGTTTTTTTTATCAGAGAATATTACAAACGCGATAGCGTAAAGATTTGTGTGAAACATTTTGCAGATAATGACAAAGTTCAAAGTTAGTAATTTTAATGTTTGCGCTTAAACATTAAAATTTCTTTTAAAGAGGGTGTCATACAAAACAGCAAAACTGTTTTTACTTCTCTTAAAGGTGATGTGATACAATTCCATAACAGAAAGTTTGAAACTATCGAACTTGCTTTAGTAGGTGAATTTATTAGACATATTACATATTCAGTTAATCGTAGGTAACATTGCTGGTACATAATGCCTCGTAGATAGGTTTGTGTCTAAATTTAGAAATTTATCTCTTAGCCCGCTAATTAATATTATCTTCTATGCAGGAGATTGCAGGGCTGATTCAACTTGCAGCCTTACCGATCACCTGACGATGCTCATTTAGTTTGTCTCGAGCAAGTCTTCTTGAAAAACTTGTGTGAATGGAAACTACCTATATGTTTTGCCTTCCTCCGACTTTAGAAGACAAATTTATTTTGAAGGATTTGGCATATAATTCTCATTGATTGTTGGCTGTTTATAATTCCTATTAAATGTGAATTCTGATTATAACAAAGAGTTAAACATTTTTTTACGTAATCTACGGGCACTTTTTTCTTGTCAATACTCCAAGCTGAGGTAATAAGCAAGACAATACATTTATGTCATCTGGAAGCAAAATATACACACTAATTAAAAGTTTGACACATTGAGATAATACATCATGACAGAAAATACAAAGATACAGTATGTATGACCATCACATGGTAATTAAAATTAAAAAAAAATTAATAGAGGCTGTGAAGTATGAAAAGTTCAAGACAAAGAAAAGAACAAAAGTTCATAGCTCATGAACTCTCAATTCTGCCTCCATTGCTTTGTGAAGGCCAATATATTCCGAATGGCTGAATTGGTTTACCTTTATGATAGCAATGGTTTTGTATTTAATATAGCGAGATTTTTTCAATTTAATTGAAGTGATATTATTTCCCAAAGCAATGCTTGAATCGTCTAGAATAGATCAGTGGTGTCAAACTCATGGGTTTCGAGAGCCGCATTGCATGTTAGAAATTGTAAAAAGGGCCGCAAACAGTTTTTGATAATGTATACTTGAAAGATATTTTTCAGATAGTTTTAGTTTGTGACATATATTGTGATGCAACTAATCAGTTGGATTAAGTATTATTATTTTCTTTAATTTCAAATGCAATTACATATTAATATTTGCATTCCACTATTATTGCAAGTTACTGTATTTATTACAAAAAATCATAAAATTCCATGTACAACCATCAAAATCATTTTTGAACAAGCGTTGGTTAAGGAAAGAATAATAAATACACTAAAAAATGACTTAATCTATGAACCTAAAATTAACAAAAATACTACAGTATAAACTCAATGTTTTTTTTAATTACATTTGTCCTGACGTTTGGCATCTTCTTTGTGTCACCAGCATACTAAGGCCAGGCTGAAATGATTTTATAGTACCAACTCTAACTAACGAGGTCACATGATCATGGGTTAATCTGTATCTTTGCAAAAGTTTAATTAATTCCAGTAATGCAAAAAAGTTACTTTTATCATTTCATGTATAGATCAGTAAAAAAACAAATGGCAGATTTTTTCGACAAGACATTTCGGGCTACATTGCATGGCGTAGGATTGCTTGAATTATTATTGATATTGATTTTTAGTAACTAAGTCGTTGTATATTTATATTAATATACAAACACATGGTAATTTTCTGTTCGGAGTTGGTCTTCGAATTTTCATATTGACTGCTGAGCTTATTGTGTTTTTTCATTGTACTGATGGAAATATGACAAATTTAACAATGTGCTTCAGAATTTTGTGAAGTGCAGAAATATTGCAACTCCCATTTTCTTCGAAAATGCCACCTTCTTCATGTACTTTAATTTAATCACTCAAGTGTTTTATTCAGTATTCTTTTGCTAGCTTGATGTGTATTCTTAATTGAGTCAAAATGTGAACAAAAAAAAATTAACTTTCTAAAACTATATTCAGTAAATTGTTTTCTGTGTGAATATTCAATTTCACTTTAAAAGGTTTGAAAAATCTTTTACATTTAAATAAAAAAAAATTCAAAAATACTATTACAATTATTGTTAAGCGTTCGAGGGCCGCACTGGAAGTTTTCTGGGGCCGCAAGTTTGACATCCCTGGTCTAGATTGAAGTTGTCCAAAATATATAACATTATTTTATCATGAATCATGATTATACCCTTTCCTGAATTTCTTCTATAGTACTACCAAAATTTAATGAACCAAATATAACACAGGTGTAGTCAGTGACCCGTAATCCTCATTTTTCAAAGCTGTTTTAAGTATGTCTGGCATGTTTTGTGCCTTTTTACAAAGAAGACCGCTTATGCAATCTTACGCTTTAGAATTTTTAGTTATTTCCCTCAAGCCCTGCAGGATGTAAGGGCCATACACAACTTTACCGGAGGGTCAAATGTCTTTGCATTCCTCTATAGGTTGTTTTTCTATTGCAAACATTTATGGAGTATTCTAATCATATTTCTCCAAATCAAACTGTCACTGATATGTCACCAGACTTCTGATATCTCCCCTTCTGCTACAGTTGTCCTGTGAATAAATAATAGGAAATTCAGGTTAGACGAATAGTTGAAAGTTTTGTTTTATGTCGGCCTAATTTCTTGATTGATATACTTACTATTATTGCTATTGCCTCTTGTGCTGCAGGAGTCTCACAATGCTTAGGCAGGTCTGTCCACAACTTTCACATCTGTAGGAGAGGAGATGTATTAACTTTCGTTAAGAATAAATAAAGCAGTCTATATGATTCAGAATGGAAAAGCTAATAAATCCAATATCTTATGTTTTTTGTAAAAAATGTTTTACTGAATTTGGTATATAAACCAACTAATAAAGGGGTTTAGTCAGACAATTATAAGCATTCGTGGCTCCAAATACTTGAGAGATCAGACTATACAATATAGACCGGTATGAGTGAAATTTTAGGTGAACTTGTTAACCCTTTGATTCAATAAGCAAATAAAAGTGAATGAGCAATAGTATGTTACAGCAATAACTATATATCCTCACTGATTAAAAAAATCTAACTGAAGGTGCATGAACTGTTTGAAACCATAAGGGGTAAGTAAATATGCAATTTCGGCAGATGGCCAACTACGTACCGTACTGAATTATAAACTTCGTAGTATTTGACAAAAGCTGGCTTTCCCGCATGTACTTAACAGTGCGATGCCCGGGTGTGATATACAACAATAGTATTTACCTTACTTTTTTCCGATTTCTTTCTACTTTCAATTTTCCAAATATCAATAAAAACCACAACAACTGTCGAAGCAGGCTCGAACACCATTCGTGCTATGCCTTGAAAGCAACACACATCCGCTCGTTTTCGTCTCGTCAAGTATGTGCATTGGAGCGTGCTATCGAATACGATCTTCGGCCAAAAATGCCGGAGTTGCGCATCATGTTGTTTAATGTCATTGTTGGGACCAACGTTGTCAGGAAAAATCCTACGCGCACAAACGGTGTTCCATGGGGTTCTAACTCACTTCGAATTTCCTTGAGCAATATTCAATATGAAAATCTTTTATAAATTCTCCATGCTACAAGTTCAACTACAAGTAATATAATTATAATAATGATAAGAGAATATAGAACTGGATACGAAAATTCGGGAAATTTGTTTTTACATGTAGAAGGTAGTTGAATTGGAGAATGCTGCTTAACTGCTAGGTTGTCCGCACACACGTGCGATGCCGGTACCGTCTGACCAAAGGTGTTATAGTCGCTTTGCGCCTGACCGTATCGATGAAACGAATGGGAGATACGAATAGTCTAGTAGAATATAGACTACTGAAACACTCTCTGCGCCGGCCCCATACCGTACAGCCATAACATACCGATCCAGACCAATAATCCATCCCTTGATTCACTAAATTCTACAAGACTATCCGTATCTCCCATTCGTTTCATGAGTGATTGCATGGGTACCGTTACGGTCAGACGCAAAGCGACTATAACCCCTTTGGTCAGACGGTAGCGGCATCGCACGAGTGTCCGGGCAACTGAGCAGTTAAGTAGCATTCTCTAATTCAATTACCTTCTACACGTAAAAACGAATTTTCGTATTCAATTACATATTCTTTTAACATTATTATAAATATATTACTTCTGGTTGAACTTGTAGCATGGAAAATTTATAAAACATTTTCGTATTTAATTTATTGGATATTGCTCAAGAAAATCAGTAGTGAGTTTTTTTTTTTTGCATTTTTCTATTTCGTTTTTATTTTTAATTTTTTTTTTTGCATTTTTTTTTGCATTTTTGTTTTTAATTTTTTTTTCATGTTTTTTCACCTCTATTTTTTTATTTTGCTTTTATTAGGCTTCCCGCTGCTTGTCAGCAGGGAACCTATTGTATTCCTGTGTTTTATTATTATTATTTATTATTATTTATTATTATTTATTATTATTTATTATTATTTATTATTTATTATTATTTATTATTATTATTATTTTTTTTTCAAATTGGTCCTACAAACTTGAAATTCACCTCAAATGTGCAGAAGTTCTCAGCTAGCAATAAAATGCAAATTTTATGCATGACTGACCAGGTTTTCACGCTCCAGTGAGCAAAACGCGGATTCAGTTTTTTTGCGATTTCTCAAAATTGATACATGGTATTGGGTTGAAATTCATAACAATGATTAATGGACATGTTCCGGATACAATATGTCAAGGATACGCATGAGTGACCTCGGCGATACGCTCCAGTGAGCAATATAGGATTTCACATTTTCATCTTCTTCTCGAAAACGACACTACTTAGAGACTTGAAATTTACATCACATGCAGACAATAAGTCCCCCATCATAATTTGCAAATTTCATGCATGACTGACCACGCTTTCACGCTCCAGTGAGCAAAACGCGTCTTCAGTTTTTTTGCAATTTCTCAAAATTGATACATGCTATTGGGTTGAAATTCATAACAATGATTAATGGAAATGTTCCGGATACGATATGTCAAGGATACGCATGAGTGACCTCGGCGATACGCTCCAGTGATCAATATAGGATTTTACACTTTCATCTTCTTCTCGAGAACGACACTACTTAGAGACTTGAAATTTACATCACATGCAGATAATAAGTCTCCCATCATAATTTGCAAATTTTATGCATGACTGACCTCGCTTTCACGCTCCAGTGAGCAAAACGCGTCTTCAGTTTTTTTTACGCGGGAAGCCTGTTAAAGCTGCACGCAGCTCTAGTTTTCAGTGTTTTTTCTTTTTTTTTTCTTTTTTTTTCAATTTTACGCGTGACAACGATGGGCCACCATGCAGGTCGCTCATACACTTTTAATCACACATATTGTAAGATGGTTTTTGGTTTACCGTCACTTAAAATTAAAAGAATGGTACCAAAAACGATTAGATTGGATATTTTGATACAATTTGTTACTTTCAAATATTCGAGATTAGGTAGTTGAGTGAAAACACACAAATCAGGTGAAAATTGCAAATTTTCTAGAGTCAAAGGTCAGCGAGATATCTTTTGCGATGCAACTATCGATGTAGTGACAATGCATAACATAAATGTTATATTACAAAATTTAAAAGTTTAGACTTCAATGGGATATTTCAATAAATAGCAAGTCCTCTTGTGATTCATTTTTCCTTATTATGCGTTTGGGTTCCTTTGTGAATATACAGTATATATATATATATATATGGTAATGATAACAAAGAAATGATCATGCCACATGATGAAAGTACCGAATTTGCTTACAATTGAACAAAAATACTTTTCTGCCTAGAAGCTTGAGGTAGGCTTGTCCAGTGCACAAATTCTATTGGCGAAGAAGACAGGGAAGTTATTTGAAGTGTGTGTTCAATAAATGAGTTAAGCAAATTAGAATTTGCATAAAGATCTATATGAATCGGAATATAACATTTCCAATAGCCTATTTATTTGAGATTCTACACTGTGTATATATGTAGAGTACAGAGGGGCAAGAACCGAATTTTCTGTAAATATTATCGTGTTTAGAAAAATATTATGTGTTTTAATCCGCGCGATCCAATCCAATCCGCGACCTCTGTGGAGAGATAAGTAGCGCTCAACGCAGGGCAGGATTTGCTATTAGGCAAGGTAGCATAAAAATCAGGGACCGCAAACCTCCGGGGCTCGACATTCAGTTTTGAAGTAATATTCATGTTTAAGTCGTTTTTAAATTGTAAAGGCTTGTTCCAGAATATAACGGGTTTGAAATTTCATAAAACTGATATTTGTTTAATTTTTTATAATCAAGTTAATTATTTTTGTTTCAAAATTTACCATTTAAATTGGTTAAAAACTTGAATACAGTCGAATAAATTAATTTGTTTAAATTCGAAAAACCTTACATTTTTAGCACTAACTTTTACTTTTGATTGCAGACTCGTTTATTCCAAAAACGAAATGAAAATTTCATTATCGGTAAATGAGCCATGCCTTTCCTCCTCTCGAAACAGGTGTCATGACTTCGGGTTTTCTGGTGCCGTGACGCTTCATTACAGCCTTCAGTTTCCTAAAGTATTTTTAATTACAAAATGCTATCCAATCTATACTTGGCGTAGGTGAACAGTCTGTAACTAAAATTTCGTATTTTAATTAAAAATCTATTTATGACTTCAAAATATATTTTAAAAACAGTTGAAATTTCATGATGTCATTATTAAATAGCCTCGCAAATGACATAGCTTAGGGCAGGGGTGTGCAAACTGCGGCCCACAAGAAAAAAAAAATTGTGCGACCCGCGAAAAAGTGCCAATTTTGAATGGTGTGCCCGCGAAACGAGTTTTCAGTTTAGTTAATCTGGTACGAGGGAGCAATTCCAATCACTTTGCGTTGCAACGCCTATACCAGTACCCGAGTGCCACTTCCATATTAGCAAAACTAGCTAGCAAAATACACCGTGTTATAAAAACGTTTCTCACTGAATTCGTTTAAAGTCGGTGTGACAATAAATTTGAATAGCAGTTTTCTCTAGAAATTTATGCGTTTTAACTCACCATTTCTGTACGGACACCTAACAATGCCGAAAGATCAATAACAAAAAGAAACAATTTTTTTGGACCTACGACTACTAGAAAGGCTATCTTAAATAAAGGTGCGATGGTATATTGCTAACACGGTACGGTGATTTTCCGTACAGCATACCCCACCATGAAAAAGTTTGCCGTTCTTGATCGTTACAAATACTGTAAAGTAATCAGTCCATTATACTGTTTTGTTCAGACTGAGTGGGAAAAAACAATCATGGTACGAATAATAAACATAATCAACCTATAATCTTCCAAGCATGAATGGCTGAATGTTTTCTTTGAAAAGTGTGGCTCACGAGCATCGATAACCTTCATCGGCCTTGTTTGCTGAGCCACTCAACTCAATATCAACCAAACAGTCAAATGTATATACAGTAATTTACTTTGAATTCTGTTCATGTTTTCTCTTTGTGAAACGGAATCTTCGCTGTCCCTCCCTCTAATATAGTTATTCGTCTACATTTAGTTATTTATATATACTGTTTGTCGTCATGTTTACCTATCAGTGTTGATTCAAATAGTTCAGAAATTGAAGCAGGCACATAATCTATTAGTACACATAAATTGAAAGTGGAGTATGTGTTACGAACGACATAAAATGTTATCAAAACCTGCACCTAATTTAAATATCCTAGACTTAGAGGATGCAACGTCTTTTATGCAAAACATGTTACTTTGGTAGTGTAATTTTAAGTCTATATCAGTAGTGCGAAAGTGCCTTTTGCTGGGCATCTTGCACCCAAATAATATTTTTGGAATACATATTTATGTACTGTATTTATGTACGTACAAAGCCATACCACATTAGTTACGAATGTTGTGAAAACCAGATGGGATTTGCCACTATAGAATCGTGTCGTTTGAGGAACCGTCCGTTGTTTTGAAGAAACTGTCTAATTCTGCATACGGTATTATTTCCCATTTCGTAAGTTCCGTTTGCAATATTATTTTGACCTCGAATTTTGTATCGCCAATCCAGTTTTGTAGATTATAAAAATAAACTAGTTAAAAATTCTCAAATTGGTTTTCTTTTATTCAAACTTCAAGAATTATATTCTGGTATAATCGTCAAGCAAATATTTACATAAAAAGACTAATCACAAAACACAAAAATACAGCACCTGAGATTTATCAAAACATTAAAAACATGAACCTACTCTAAATATACCAACGGTTAATCTATCGAAATTTGTTTAAGATTCCGAATGGATTTTTACATTCATATTTTGTTTCCTAACACCATTAATCATACTTTTTACGTACTGAGCAAGGCGACTGAAGTTGACAACACTTAGCTCGGAAAGCATTGTTATGGGCTGAGATGAAAACAGACCAAACTGTATCGGGCACAATGGTACAAAACATACTTTCGGCATTATTCTCCATAAACTGGGCTTTCTGTAGTTTTCATGTTACGTGACATTAGGGATCGTGCAAAACACAAAGCATTGAAAAGACTCTATAATTGCTCATGTGGTATCGAATTGTGCGGCCAGGAATTGTAAATATGAACTGATATGCAAAATATTATTAACGTCGGTGAATGCGTACTAAATGTCACGAACATGGGCAACATTATATCAATTGTGCTCACATGACAGCACAGCCTACAAAACAACAACAAGGTTCTACTGGCTTTGGAGCGCCCAGTAATTCTTTTGTTTCCGGCTCTGGAAATCTGCCTTGTGAATCAGCGCGAATGAAGATCCTAAGAGCAGCCAATCTATATTCTACTGAATTCGCGGCAACTGCGCTTGAATAGTCAGCTTTGTTGTATGTTTTTTCAGAAAAATCTTTCCCTAGTTGGCATTGTTGTCCTCTCCATTTTTCGATATTGTCAGTCTGGACGCAAATGACATCAGCACCTTAAACACGTTTGAATAAAAATTTAGATGTTTGCTGTGTAAATGGAAGAAGTGTTGGAGTGTAGTTCGGTTATTCACGCGAAAGTAAATTCCTAGCGATATATATATATACTAAAATGCCAATAAAAATGAAACAACCTTAAAAGAGGCGAGAATATGTTTTAGAAGACACCCAAAAAGATTTGTCATTGTATAGGTGCAAGTTAGAAATACATTAGTTTTTGTAGATGTAAACTACAAAAAACGCGATTTCGCCAAAAATGTTTCGCCAAAGATGAGTGGGATAGTAATGATGATTTCACAATATATATATATAAATATATTAACAAGACTCGATACACAGTCAGTGAAAAAATGAACCTGTAATAGCAATCCACTCATTTATTCTTTGTATTGTATCCTCAGTAGTTGCAAAAATTGGTCTCCGTATTCCACAACAACCTGCTGTAGTGATTTGGCAGGGTAGAACAGTGCGAATCGCTATTCCCGGTCTAAATGTTCTAGGCAGAGGTGGATGGGGAGATTCTTGAGCAATCTGTATGAATTTAAATAAGTTTATATTCCTGGCAAGATTCTTAATTAAACCCTAATAATATTTTTATCAAGTGATTGAAATTCAGTAAAAATTTTAAAATATACCTGTGTTTCCGAAGATGACGATTGGACAGTCTGTCTTTCACCACGAGCGAACCATATTCGCAGGAATTTCAGTGTATGTAACTGAGCACTTATTTTTGATGTTTCATAGAACGAGCAGCTTGTGTTGAACGCTTTTTGCTCTAGGTATGGAAATATTTTTTGTATCTTGGTTGGTGGTTATCTCTATGTCAAGTGGCAATTTTATTCGAATCTATTCTCATAAAATTGCACCAGGAATCACAATGTATTAAACTGAATGGACGTATAGTAACATACGCTATAGCACAGCTCAATTATTATTAGTGATAAATAGAATAGGTTTTAAATGTTTATAGATGGAGTAATTAGGAAGCTCAAACATCGCTAATGGAAATTCAGGCTCTTCCAACATGAAGTTCGATTGCAAGTAAAGAACTGACAGTTTGAGAGTATTCTCTCCATGTCTATATTTGCCAAATGTTAAAACAGCAATTACTCTTACACCAGCATTCTTACTCTTACCTTCTTGCTTCTGATTGAAAGGGATTTCAATGGCTTGAGAACCCACGATAGAGATTCCGGGTTCACTTGACAGCCAACGGCTTGCTTTTTTACTCAAAGACGAAAATCCGGAAAACGAAACATTGTCACCCTGCTTTGTTTTAGACGGTGAAAAGTCTTCAAATCCTGGTAAAGTTAATGCATTTATGAATCGGATCTGTTTGAAATTATTTTAATTCGGCAACTTTGAATCAGTCTCTGAAAATGAGGTATAAATTTCGGAAACCCGAAAGTCTGTCATAGAAAATCGGAATTTTGTTCTGAAGATTATTTGGATGTAAAACAAAATACATATGTACTAAACCCGAGTGGCATGGAATAACCGGATTGATTTGAGAGACGAAGTAATATGTCAATTCGGAAGGAAACAAGTCAACCGGACTTTAGGACAATTGAAATATGACATAGCTTACCAATGTCATATTCGCCCGTGACCTGTTTATCTTCGATGTAGAAAACTCGGATGATGAAAAAATTCCATCTTCCGTGATAATCCAGACACCAATATCCGTGGTCAGGATCCAAATCTCCAGCATCACGAAAAGCATGCGAATAGTTGATTGGTATTGACTCGACGTTGATTATATGACCTAGCATAATATGATAATATATTTTTGATTAGTATGGTCAAATAACCTGTACGTTACTTTTATTTATAAAGGTTTCAGGGATCGTGGTAGGGTGATCAGATCACATTAGATATTCGCGAAAGAGTAATGCCTAATTACTGTTATTTGTCTCATGTTGCCTGTTTAATTTAGAATACAGCTAATGAACTATAACTCAAGTTGCAACGTGCTGCAAATTGCAAACAGATATATATTTGCACTCGAGATGAAGGTCACTTTTCATCATCTAACCAGAGAGAAGTGTTGCTAGACAACTTTGTATATTTGTCTGGGGGTATTTGTGGGTTTGGTATATCACGTATAGGTGTGTGGGTATTGAAAGACATGTTGAAACAAAATGCTCTATGAAAACGAAATTACGATAGTTACAGCTGTTGTCATCGGCGAGTTCATTTTTGCTTAAAGACTGAGTGTATAATCTATCCCCAAATCTATCAAGCTTAAATTCAGCGTATTCAGTTTAGGTCATGGCATTCATTCTAGGTTAAAAGCTGGCCAATCAAAAAAGATCACGATTATTTTTTTAATATTTGTGTTATCTGTTTTACAGACGTGACATGTTAACCAAAGTTTTGAAGTGGCTGTCTCTCTGGTAAACAACTTACTAATTGACAAATGTGAGACTCGAGAAAAACATCGATTATGTCAATTTTGTTTTGACTAAAGACAAGAATGAGCGTGTGGTTTACAAATTTTTGTCAATCTGTCAAATTATGTTTCTTTGGGAAAAATCAAACTTAAAATCCTAACTCATAAAATGAGTTTTGTTTGGAACTATTTATACTTTGAAACTGTACTCTCTACATCCAAATAATATGAAAACAAACAAACTCGCATGGCTTGTTATTGAACGCCAGATGTGTTAGCCATAAGCCAAATTGCGATGCCTTTTTGGATTGGACCGGAGTACACGAGGGACTGAACGAGCACAACGAGCGTTTTTTGTTAACCTATGTAAACAAAAATATAACCCATATACCGTGCTGTCGCGGCGGTGCGGTTAATACAAGAAGTCCAGATACACATAACTGTGTGAAACCGCGGGCCGCACTTTTATTTAACATAGGCTTTCTAGTAGTGGCAGGCACAAAACTTTGGTTATTGATCTCATGACAGTCGTTGTTCCTTCGCACAAACTATAGCTGTTAGGGCATTGCAAGCAGGTTGCACACCCCTGCCTTAAACTATTATTAAAGGCAGCCACACAATTTGCTCACAGTCACGGATAGGATAGGAATTACATATTTATCCCGGGGGAGAGGAAAGCCGAAAAGGCGGAATCCTATGGCGAACCACGGCCTCTCGTCCGGTTACCAGTCCAGGTCGGGTATAGGATTAGTTAGCCAGTTATTTGTTTTCGGAGGCATGGACTGGGTATAATTTTGATGTCTAACAACATGCAATCCCTGCGCCTGCTTCATATCGTACATTTTACACAATATAAAATAAACGAAATTATTAGGAATGACATATAGACAGCTTACCCGTTATTTGATTTTTAGATATTGCCTCGTTCAATTTTCGCAGCGTACTTTTCATGCCAGTGAAAGGCGGTCGATCTCGATGTTTCGGCATGGTAGTTGTATTTTTATCCTTGTTTGTGCTCTCAGGTAAAATGTTCATGTAGCAGAGTTTTCTAGCATTTCTCTCTTTGTTCGAGTGAGTATCCGAGCTTCGGGAAGATGACGTCGTAGGTACTGACGTTGTTTGAGTTTCATCTGATGGCGCAATTGATTCGGGTGCAACAAAAACTTCGTTTTCTGTTACTTCAGGTAAACTATACCAGAGCCTAGCAATGCGAATGTAATTTATGATAATCCTTTAGGACTTAGGTTATAAAAAAAGGCACTGACAAATGTCAGATTTGCTTGGTTGTTCTGGCAGATAATGTCTGTCATTCTGTATTGGAAGACCCTCTATTTTTTACAAGATTTAAAATAATAAATAGCATAATATTCGATTGTGCAGCATATAAAACAACAAAAATTGAAATACCGGTATTTGTATATTGAAAGTTAGAATTATTAATTTTGAAATGTGCAAAATTACCTACTCTGATATATTCAATAATAGTCAGCATATGGTAGTAAATTTAAAAAAATTCAGTACTGTTTTGCTCGATTGGTTCATGGCGCTACATGTGCCGAAATGATGAATACGTGGAACTATTATCTTCGATATCATTTTCTGTCACAATCTGACCCCAGTTTTCATCACTTGAGCGCTTTCTAGCTTTACAATTAACAAACAAAATACTAAATTTATAACTCTCACCTTAATCCTATAACGTAGGATCGATCATGTGATGTTGTTGATTCGGGATTGACTCTGTGATTGTGATCTAATCTTTGATACAAACTCTCACAATTTTTTATTTGAATGTGAGGATTCTGTTCCAAGAATTTATTAGCTTCTGTGACGCACGAACTAAAAAAATATTAAACAAGATAAACGGAAAGGTATATCTTATGGCAAAACTTGGTGAAAACACAGAAAATTGTCTATAAATTTTTGCTAATTTTTTTTTAGAACTATAAATTTTGAAGGTATACTTGAAGAGGAATAAAAAGCACCTTGAACATGTATTGCATACTCAGATTTAGGACAATCATGATTCTACAATGTGGGTATTATCGTTAGCAACAATTTATATGTTTAGGGTTTCATCTAATCCTTTTTTAATCACATGTGTATTTTGGTTACCGCAACGATATATAGTTTTCTTAAAATTATCAATTTTTATTTTTGTAATAGCACAAACAACAATTAATATAGCTATTTAGTAAAATACTCAAATCAAATGGAAAATTACTTACGAAAAGCCATGGTAGTTTTTAGATGCTTGAATGGATTGGTGCTTCTTTTTAGGCATAAAATCAATATATCCTAGATTTTGCATGGGCGCAGCTTCTTCTTCCGAGCGAGTATAAAACCCACCCTTCGATCTCCTTAAAGTTGTTCCTTGCGATCCTGATGATCTCATGGTTCCAGTTGATGACGCCATAGTCGGAGAAACGTGACGGCGAGTAGCGGTATCTTTCGTTGGCGATAATCGGCCTATTTCATCTCGCTCAATCTGCTCAGCATCGTCATGATCTTCACAAGAACTTTGTCTGGGAAGCGTTCCATACGGTGTTACATCTCCATAGTTTCGTCGCAAAGTATCCGATCTTAGTTCTGTGCGTTCGGGTTCATGTGTTTGATAGTCAGTAGGTTCCAAATTCGCTGTCGGTGACGACATACTGCTTCTCTCAGATAATGTACTTTCAACCAAAATTATAGAAGTCTCAAAATACCTATTTGTTAAGTATGATCTTAGTAGACAAATAATCGTGATTTGTATTTCATGTTGAAAAAATGGTAAACTTGTTTTTCAGTAGATCACTAACGCACCAGTAAACTGTATATACTGTATACCTCTCGTCTCAACAAGATTACCTATAATATGAAGTGTACTTTCTCGTTTGAAAAAAAACTTGCTTTGTGGTTCATCGTTTTCTTAATATTCATGATTGATGGCACATCTTAACCTTAAAACGTAATGCTCCATCAACCAATTTCTTTATTATGATAAACTACTGCTTATCCCTGTATCTAAATATATTCACCTCAAACATGGTAGATGACAGGCCATAGTTAATAGTAAAATCAAATTACTCGTATTTCATGTACAAAAAAAAAATTTTACTTGATTACTTATAGACTAAATATATATTGTTGCCAATACGTCTAATTTCCGTTGCTATTCAATTGGTATATTTTGCCATTTCTTTAATTTTTAAACCTAAAAGAATTTCTCTATTCTCGTACTTAGTCAATTCTGAACTTTAGTGTTGAGATTTTTTCTGTCAACAAATGTTGTGAAATTCCGTATTTCAAAACCGTATCAATTGTTTGTCATTACTCATTACAATAGATTTTCGACTTTTTAGAATCAAAATAACTGAAAAACTACTAAACAAATTTCACCTTTTATCGAAACACCCAAATCTAATCACTTCTAATGAAGTATATGACTAAATGATATCTCTAACGGGATACAAGCAATAATATACTGACAAGGAGAGAACTCGACAACCATATAATAACACCGAATGATTAACAACATTATACCGATAGACCCATTGTGGAGACTTAACATAATACCATATCAAAGTCAAACATACTTTTCATAATGAAGACTCTTTCTTTTATAACAAAGAATTTCTAATTCTTTTGTTTATGATCTCAAAAACTTCATTCATTGCAGAACAGAGAAAACGACAATGCTTCTAGATGAGACTACTCCCCTGGGCTATGTACGAATGCCGTACATAGCATGCATGCAAATTGCGTATGACACTGTGCAGTGACAGCTGCGCGTTGGTATCGAGTGCTGAAGATAACACGTATCGCCCTTGATAAATGTTTTGCTCCACAAGATTTTAATAAGATCGGGCGACCATGGGCCATGAATAAATTACCTTCGTCTTGTTTAGGCTTTGGTGTATCACACAATGACAGCTTCTTTTAAGTCATGTCTCTTACGTAAATAAATAAGTTAGACAGCCTGTATTATCTGGTAATGGAATTCTTATTTGAATGGAACGTCGAGGAAGCGTTAGCAATGTCACTATAGTTATCCACGCCTTCATTTATATGATTGTGTGCTATATTTACAACTGATATATGCGTTCATTGGTCTTAATATTTCTTCGCCCTCAATTTCTCGATTATAAAATATCAGCTATGAATGTTATGTAATTGCGCTTTGTGCTACAAATTCGATTAGGCTGTGTCTTGGTGAATTGTTGTTGTTATTGGAAACGAAATAAAACGGAATCACAGAGTTATACTTTTTGATCTTGGCTATTGGGTTACTCCTTAGTTATATTTCCATAAATTCTTGGAAGCATGAAATGATGCCTGTCGTGTGGGCGAAATTCCTATAGCGCATCGATCTTGGCTAATTGACAGCTTTTGGTTGTCTATTGACAAACAAATTATGATGTAATTCCCGTTAATGGAACGCTGTCGTCAGTTCTATTGAGATTCGCATTAATGTTTATTTCATTTTCGCAGTCTGTGGTCAGCGCTAATGTTAATTGATGGAGAAATTTGTAATTTATTTTAAAATATTTTAACGGTCTTGTTGAATGGAAGGAGCTTCATACCTGATGTAGCTTAAAGTGGACAATGCATTTGATAAACGAATCAATAACACAAAATTAATGCAAAATATACGGTGGGTGGCGCAATATGCATTAACATTATTTTTTTCATTTATGTCACAACAAAACAATGGATTGTTTTAAATCAAAATTTTTCTGTATCTTTTATATGTTTTATGGAAATACCCCCTGCATCGCCGTGAAACAACTCCAAAATGTTGTGTTTTGGCAGCTGCAAATGCTGTCAGAATATTAGTTTCAAAAATGTCAGAAATTTTTTTTACTTTGACTTTCACCGCGTAACTTTATCGTTAGCTACGCTTCGAGTAATAAAGGCAAGAAAAATCATGGCTCACGGGCCTACTACAATCTAAAAGCAATTGGATCAGAGACCTGCCCATCGTCTAAATTTGGCAAAACAATGGCGTTAATAGAATAATGGAGAATATTCGTAGATCGGCAACAATCTACGTAGGGTCGATTCAGGGCCGGATTTAGACGATGAGACACCCTGGGTTATTCTAATTGACGTCACAACTAATCTGTTATGACGTAATAATAAACTTTCAAATTTAGATATTAAGACATCGCACGCACGTTTTAAAATTGCTTGAATTACAAAATTTTAGCTACAAGTAATACATACATACAAAACGTCATGTCACTACAAAACCCGACATCATAATACTCGTTTTTAGTGAGAACTGGCATAGTAAAAATTATATATTGATTGCTGCTTATGCTCATTGCTTAGATGAAGTAGTATGGACGTTTCCCCGAAAAGATGGCCCCTAAAAGATTCTTCCTATACTTTATCATTGCAAAATTTTCAACGCTGTCTTAGAGAGTTGGTGTTTACAAACTATGGCTCACATGTTCATTTTTATTTGAAACAAGAAACCACGTGCCGCCAGGTACTGATACTAATAATGATACTAATAGGTACTGATAGCTAATTTTAGGCTAGTCTATCGCAACGTTTGCGGTGTCAATTTTTGATTATTGTAACTAAACTAAAGGTCCCCAGAGGACACAACGATAATTAAGTTATTTGATAGTTATTTTTTGAAAACACAACTAAAAACTGGAAAACCACACGAAAAACTACCAAAAAGAGGCAATGTTAACAACCACGCTTGAATACCTGTCTGAGCGGAAGAAGTGCCTGAGCGGCGGCATAAATTCCAATTGTTACGTCATTGATAACTTATTTCTGATTTGTAATTGCTACGGAAATGAAAAAGGAAATTGATGTTCTGGGAAACATCCATATATACTCTTATATCGATATTTTGTTTCATAAAACAAAAGCATTATTACGGTAAAAAATGTTCAGTCAAGTTTTTCAAAGCTATACAAATTCATTTATTCGGTCGTATGTATTTCTTTTTTTAATCTTTTAAACTGCAAATAGTTGAAACAAGAAATATTAACCTGAATGAAAAATATGAGATGTATAAAGTTCTAAACTGGCATTATTCCGGAGCAATTGTTTAAAACAAGTCTTTTCGAATAAATCCCTCATAATAATTTAACGCAATCGGTATAGGAAAAATCGTGTGATAGTGACTTATAAAATACCAGCAAAAGACAATAATGCAAGAGAGATTCTCAAATATATGAACACGAAGACTAAAACGAAGTGGTATATAAAGTATTTCACAGTACAGGTAGTCTTCACTATCAAAAACTCCAGACTTCGCTTACCACCAGATTACTGAAACGCAATCGAGGAACCGCCACACCAATATTGAAAAATTCGTTTGCAGCTATTTTTAATTTCGATGGCATCATCACACAAAAGTTCAAAGTTCAAAATGAGTCTCATAGACTAGAGCTCGCAGAAATTTTTGAAATAAAGAATAATAGCCTTGTAGCAACAACAACAATCTTTAACCACTGAAAATTTAAAAAAATAAGAGTCCAGTAATTAAAGAGAAAAGCGATTTCCTTACAACAACAACAAGTAGCAAAGAAAAAAATACTGAGAGGAATACTATCAACAACAACAACAACTTAAGAAAACGATCTATAGGTGCATTTCGTGTACAATGAAAATCATAAAATAAGCATAAACTTGAAGAAACCAATTGCAAGATATCGAATTGACAAAAGCATTTAAAATTAACGATCTAAAGTATCGAACACCGGTGGAGTATACTCATCTTTAGTGGTCGAATGATACGAGTTGTACTCGATTCCAGATGATGATAACTCATATATACCAAAAATTAAAATATACGTTTGCTCGTTCCTAGATAACTATTCCAAGTTGCATAATATAATATTAGAACCGGGAAATTAACACTAGGTGTCACCGCATAATCCTTGCTTGTGACGCAAATGATCAGAATCCTTTTGTCATCCACGAGATGTTTTCTGCTGGTGGCTGTCATGAAGTACATATGACTGAACGATTGCGACATGGTCAGGTATAAGTGAAGTCAACCAGCAACGAGTTCGAAACAATTTGAAGCATTATTCAATCACGTTATATCAAGCGGAAAATGATATAGTGGACAACGCAATACCAGATAAAGTTTTATCATACGTATTTGGATTACTTAATGATGACACTCTATAATATGATTTTGTCCTAGTAACAGAAAGAAATCGCAAGAAGACGCAAGTGGAATTAAATGCAAAGGAGACTCATAATCGTAAATATCTTCATGATCGTAGAGGAAATGGAAGTATTTGCTATTTAATTGACAAATATATGTTGCAGTATCAAATCCAACAGTGATAAACGATGTGAAATTGTGTGATGCAATCTATCAATTAATAATAAACTTGAGTGGGAAACCGGAAAGTTGTCTTTACGTTACAAATTGAAGTAAATTTGGTGATACAATCGAGAGAATCTTCAAAATTGAGAGCTTTGGATTTGGCACTTATCGATGTCTAGAAGGGCTACTTTACACTTTTCGGACGAGAGCTATGAAGGAGTCAGGTCTATCGAAAATATATATCGTCAGGTTTTGTGCGATGTGTCAGCCATTAATCGATTACCCATTTTAATGACTATGCTTTTGTAATTAAATTTCTCTCCAATACTTCTATCGAGATGCTTGTTGAACGCAAAAAATAAAACTGAATGGTACAAGTACTAATTCCAGAATATTTAAACCCCACCACAAGCTTGTCTGAAAATGCGTGAGACTTCTTTCACTGCATTAAAATTCTTAGCTAAGGCTACTATCCAATGTTTGGTTTGGTTGGGAATTTGCTCACTGATGTAGCCACTGGATGGAACTTAATGAATGATACTCAACCGAGGTGTTTGCATTATTATGCCAAGTGGAAACATAATTTTTCATCGAAAATTCGCCTCTTGATCAAGTGTGGCCGATTTGTAATTTCTGATTCTGTTGTGAACGCCTTCGAATCACTTAGACAACATCTTGTTTTAACCTGGCTGAGTAATGTGAAAGATGATAAAACGTTTTTTTCGAGAGCCATCGATTACGCAAGCACTGCTACACTTAGCGCAACTTGTCGCTCTCGTTTTCAAAACCTCATCTCCCACCGAAGCCAAATATCATATAATAGAGAAAGAATTTGCTTTGTTCTGTTTATGATGTACAACAATTTTGCAATTCCGGTTAATCCGTTCGGGAACTTGCCTCGATTTCTGAAGCAAACCTCGATTATTCCAGATACCTGATCAATGCTTGATATAGGCAACTCGCCCTCGGAAGCAAGTTAGCATTGACTGTGGAAGATCAGTAACAGGACAAAACCCATATAGTTTCATTGCTGTGGTACAGCAGATTTCTCTTTATTTTTCCATGCAACAGCATGCAAACCTCAACTGCAGTAAACTGCTTGAGGAAGCGCATCTGCCTATTTAGATTTCCACGCGATCCACATGTTTAGAGACCTCAAAATATTAATTTCAAGGGGTACTGCCAACTACCAACCCAACTAACAATCCACACTGAACCAGTGGGATTCGCATGCTGTGCGTTCTTTGCTTTGTATTTGAGGAATTTCACTCCGCACGAGAGCTTTTAAGTCCTGACAGAAGATCGATGTTGGGCAAATATCTTTTTGACTGACTTATTCAGCCTGGTCCTGCCTCACTACATATACAGGGTGTCTCAAAATTAAGTATACACTTTTAATTTTGATTTGCTTTTCATGAACTTATCATAGAGCGTTCATTTCTTCAGAAAACATAGTATGGATAAGTAGTAAAAATTAGGTATTGTTTGCATTTTTCATTTCCATTCCGCGCGGGGAATAATAAGGAAAAGTTGATAAAGTGAAAAGAAGAGGCTCAGTTGGGTGTTTGATAGATGTACAAAAACGAAAATTGTCGCGCCGACGAATGGGCGTTGCCCTCGACGTCTTTAGTCCATTGGGTTGTTTTGATAAACTGATCACTCCTAATAGGAGTGAGTAATCAATTTTAAAGTGCGTGATCACTCAACCGTGACAATAATTTTTTGTCGTAAACTTTACTCCAATTACCTTGTTGACTCAAATATAGCACCCCTATCTATTACCATTCTCGAGATATGAACAGAAACCACTGAAGCGTGACTGGGGGCGGAAGAAAAAAGTTTGACCTGAAAAGGATCTACATGATTCTTCTAGTCATGGCCATGCTTTTAGATTCTTGATAAGACCTCTCATAGGTCTGCAATAGACCAAAATCCTGGTGTAGGAAATAAATTTCGTCTAAAAATGATTCGAATAATTTTTCCAGTCATGCCCATATGAAAAGAGTTAATTTACAAATTCATATTTATATCTGGATCGCACCAGAGGTTCGAGCTATTGAGTAATTTCAATTGACAATGAAATGCATGACAAATATTTGAAACGCTGCTTCCATTCTGCTCGGGGACTACAGTTTACTACGGGCATTACTCTTTGCGAAGAAAAGAGTCAACCACAAAGTACAAGAAAGCGGGCGAGCGCTTTGATGACTACATTAAGTTCTCTTCTCATATATAATTAATAGTGAGATATATCGGAATTCTCTTCGGTACTTTAGACATTGTACCACTAATCTGCATAACTTATTCACTGTTATGTTCAGCATTACGAATCGAGGTGTAAAAGGGTATTCCCAAATATTAAAATAAGGAATCACACAATTTTAGATCTCATATCATTCTCATTGTAAGTTTGACGCAAACATGGAACAGAAGTGATCAATAAAAGGCCCACAAAAAATTATAAAATTAAATGAAAATGATCTATTAGAACTTATAGATCATGCCATATTTGAACTACCTTCTTGTTGCCATATTTAGATGTTAGATTGCTTCTTTGAACACTTACAGAATTAGCCAAGTTAGTATTTTAGAAAGTAAACGAATATCTCGCGTAGCCCCTATACGTGTATCAAATCCGATTAATACTGGACGTATATATGGACGTGTATACAATACATCAGCATTGTATACTGCCAAATGATATTGGCCAACATAACGAGTACTGCGATAGGAAACCCAGTTTCTGACAAAACTTCCTAGATTCATATTCGAAAATGAATACAAAACTTTGACTGGCTTCCAATTAGCGTCAGAACTCCGAACTCCGTTTTTTTGTCACCGTACATACCAGACAAAAATGAATTTATGCATAAAGGTTTTACCGAGAACCCCCAGTTATGTGGAATTCACTACCTCACAACCGTTTTCCTGATTGTATTGAAATGAACTTCTTCAAGTCTCGAGCCAATCGGTATTTATTAACGCGCAATGCTATACCATGATTCATTATAATTTCAGTATAGCTTTTGACACTTTTTTGCTCAATAATCAGTCTCATTAGTTTCTGACTTAGTGCGTGTTACCTTGTTTTGACCAAATATCAAAAACAAAGCCACCTTTAAACGAATATCAACAACCCCTGACGCACGTTTATTAAAAACAGATTTTAGTTCGGATTAGCGCCACGGGAAGCAAAACCACATTTTTCATAGGGACCTCAACAGCGATGACTACTATTTGCAGTTAAACACATTTTTGATCTCCGTCCAAAATCTGAATATCATTTTTGATTTACGTTAGAAACCAATGTGACTTTTCCATTAAATGTTACTTATTATAAGTTCGTTAGTAAACAAATGTACATTCACGCTTTCCACCGCATTTTCCACTTCCACCTTTTGACACAATTATTCATTACTTGCATTGTAGCACATTATGAAGAATCACTATTTATGTGAAGTACCAATTTCACCTCTGTTGCCACTTGTGTCTCTCATAGAGTTAAGCTCTCGATAATGTTACGCTTATTATTTATCAAAGGTAGTCGTCAAATATTTTTCAGTTAAAGTTCAAAAGTTTATGCTACCGAAATTTTCGTCGTAAAAAGTCCTATAACCTTCCATAATACGTATATAAAAAACGGACGTCAAAAATTCCGGTTGTAAAGATATGTTTTAAATTGAACACAGTGCACAAAAAGTGGATGCCCATATGACCTGAATTTTTTCATCCAGATTGATATTGATTTTCTCATATACTTTTTATTTCGATGTCATAAAAATAGACAACAGCTTTATTGCCATTTTAAGTCATATTTTATTGTGAACCATGTATTTCTTCCTGTGTATAAATATACGGGGTAGCCTAGCTTCTTAGGATTTGTTTCGATAGGGTGTTTCCATTTAAAGCTAGAGTCTCCGAAGATTATAAAGGAATTCAAAAACTTGCCCCTTGTTTTAGAAAATAAATTTAAAAAAATCAGTTCAATTTCTTACAGGATAAATAGCAAAGTTAAAAGTAACAAAACTTCCAACAATCATAATGTTGTCTAAACCGTCTACTGGGAGTATTGTAATTGTAGTGACTTTTGCTATATGCATTTGCATGAGTGTTGCTGTAAGTCTTTATTTCATCCTGACGAATAACTATAACGAAAGCCAAGAACAACCGAACATAATAATAATGTATGCAGATGATACTGGATACGCTGACTTCCAGACATACGGACACCCAACACAGGAATGGAATGGCGTTGACAGGATGGCCCAAGAGGGTATTAAATTTACTCAACTGTCGACACCCTCTCCAATTTGCACCCCTTCCAGAGCAGCCCTTCTAACAGGTTAGATGATGAAACCTCGGTTTTCAATTTTTTTTTGACACGCCTCCTTAAATAAACCTTCACGTCCCCTCTAATTTCTGCAAATGGAAAATAACTAACGCTAACGTTAATAACGGTCAGCGATCATTGAAGGTTTAGAATAAGTCATGCAGCTATTTATTCATACTCCAATATTTTTTTCTGAAAAATTTCTTTTTCCTCACTATGAAGACTTACTCCAGCGGCGTTTCTAGCAACTTAACCAGTATTGAAGTCTGTCTCTTGCTCTCCCAAAGTGGTTCGATTTTTATTCAGAAGACCAGTAAAATTGTTTATGGACCGTAAACGAACTTCGGAAATGATTGTAACATAAATATGTTGTTTTGATAAATTAATTTGCAGCAAAGATTTAAGTTGTAAAAGATCATAGTTGTAAAATGCTTGTCTGAAGAAGTCTGACCTCGGTCAGACGAAACGTTACAGAAATATATTTGTGTTCGTGTGCAGCAAGATTGAATTGAATAGGTATTTTTACTCCTGCTATAGCATCCTTGCGTTATACGCATACGGATCCATCTGCGCAAAGGCATAGAGCAAGGAAAGGTAGTTAGTTTCACGTAACCCCAACTGTTAGTTGAAGATTCAAGTAATGATCAATTGATGCTATTATTTCTGATAGCGTAGAAGTTCAAGCCCAGACAAAATGAGAAACAGACACAAAAATTCCGGACGCCGTCGTTAGAACTCCAATGATATACTATGGCTATAATTATATGATCATCAGAATTATATGTTAAATATTTTACTTTTATAAGCACGTGTAAATACCAATTTTTTCTACTGTTGGTTTGCTATTTTTCGTTTTGCATATGCGCAACGATCATTTGCTGATGTAAGACAGTCAATTCTAATATGTAATGAACCTAAATTGATGAAGTTATGTTATCGTTAGATATTGTCATCTATATGTTGAAAGCTTCGGGATAAGTCTGACATATCCGAATTGAGAAAGGCGGGTACACTTACAAACAAATGTTGAAATATCCTCGAGGACAGGCTTGCGACAATAACAATTATCATTGTAATAAACGGCATTCAAGTGCGAAAAAGCAATTGGCCAGAAGGTTCTTCGCTTTATCAGTGCCTATAATTCCTTGTTTTTTCTTTTCAAGATAAACGACCATTGCCATTTTAATATTCGAAAATCTAGCATATCGCAACAAGGCGCCCTACATTTTTTACTGGTATAAAATTTGGTTATACGATATCTGATTCTGCTATTCTCAGATTGTTTTATTCGATTGTTTATCTGCGACTATACTATCCGAATACACACACGCATATATATATGCCATTATTTAACTAGGTTTTATCTGGTTTCCTAAACGTACATTTATGTCTATAAAGGTCCCTGAAAATATAATTGTACTTCAAAAGTATGTTATACTTTTTTTCATATTCCAGGACGATACCCCATACGCACCGGAGTTTTTGGCAAAAACGGCGTTTTTCTACCATCTTCATCAGGAGGATTGCCAAACAGAGAGATTACTATAGCAAAAGCCTTGAGAGATGTTGGATATGTTACTGGAATGGTTGGAAAATGGCATCTAGGTAAACGGAAATTTATCTGCGATGATCAATAAACGTGCTCCTACAATGTATGTCAAAGATCTTAGCTTTGATCATATTCAGCTATTACGATTGGAAGAAATATATATATCCACAAGTTTTTATTATGTCAGTAGGAAACTTTCAAGTATAGATTACACAAATGCGGTAAAATACGCATTACTTAAATTATTATCGTTTATTTTTAAGCCAGATAATATGGACTAAATACTTGTTTTATTTTAAAAAAAACATTCAATTCAAGCCATTAGTGCATATTTTTATTTATTTATATACTGTTAGATATTTATTATTGAATTTCTTTATTTTAAGAAACATTAAATAAAGGTTTTAATAAAAGTTACAGTATACTCAAATCAAGATTCCCAAGTTTTCATATTATTTATTTATTTAAATTTTTTTTATGATATAAGAATCATTAAGTACATTTTAAGAACGTTCTACAAACGCTTATTTCAAAGCGTTTTCTACACAGTGAATACTACATAGCCAGATTTTTCTTTGTTGCTTGTTTTTAAAGACGAACAAATATATTCCAGTACCGTGTGTAGCATGAGGCTGGATAGCAAATTTTATAGAAATGAAAAAAATATTGTATTTGAAATTACAAATTTGTTACTTGCCTTTCAGGAATAAACAAGAATAGTTCGACAGATGGATATTATTTACCGCACAATCATGGGTTCGATTATGTTGGTACGATTCTTCCTCATACAGTGTCGGACACATGCAATCCGGAAAAGGTATGATATCATTTGCCATACATATGTATTGTGTGTCCTTTTAATGGAACGTCGGGAAGTCGTCGGGTACCAGAACGACTATAATATGAATTATCAAAAAATACGTAATTCATTGTTTCAGATGATTCCATGAATATGAAACACTATTTAATTATCTGGAATAGACAAGTCATTAAAACTTCGATTCAGGATCTTAATGAAACCACAGACCATATTTTGATATAGTGTTTATTGACTGGCATCAAACTGGCGTTAAGAAGGTGCGCATAAAACATGAATCTTTCAAATGAAAATGCCTTTTGTTTAGATTTGTTCGTTTGAAGTTTTTATAACTATACTAACTGAGTTTTGAAATCACGAGTAAATAAACTGCTAATAAGAGTTTCAATTCAATTTTCAGTACAACGTACGTCAAATGAGAAGCTGTTTTTTATATCGAAACGATACTATCGTTGAACAACCAATCAATCTAACAACGTTAACAAAACGGCTTGTGGTTGATGCAAAACACTTCATCGATACGAATAAAAACAATCCCTTTTTCTTCTTGTTTTCCTTCCCACAAACGCATACGGCGCTGTTTGCCAGTCCGGAGTTCCTCGGAAAGTCGAAAAGAGGTGAGGGTGTCACTCTTATGTAAATTTCACAAAGCAGTATGATAAAGATTGAGATGTCTTTCCTCACGTTATTTTTTTATGACATATTGGTTGTATACACTAAATTATATATATACAGGGTGTCTCAAAAGTAGGTATAAACTTTTATATTTTATTTGCTTTTCAGGTAATCATCATAGAGCGTTCATATCTATTGTTTGCATTTTTATCAACAGAATGACAAGGAGTTTAACGCAAGAATGAGGTGCAAAATTGCTGTTTAGCAATAGGCATATAAATCAGTAAGGCAAACATAGCGCCTCTTTAACAGAGAATTTGGAATTAATTCGGCTTCTATACGACGAACAATTCATGCAATTCATCGTAAATTTATGGAAACTGGATCTGCAGTTGATGCACAAAGTTCAGGAAGACCAAGGAGCGGACGCTCTAAGAAAAACGTTAAGAGACAAGTTAATTCCAAATTTACTGTTAAAGAGGAGCTGAGTTTGCCTTACTGCCTTATGCTCCTTGCCAAACAGCAATTTTGCACCTCATTTCTTGGGTTAATGTCCTTGTCATTCTGTGGGTTGATGAAAAATGCAAACAATACCTAAATTTTACTACTTATCCATACTATGTTTTCTGAAGAAATGATAGCTCTATGATGAGTAACTGAAAGACAAATCAACACTCTCATTTACACTTCAGTTTTATTGTTATAAAAACAATCAAAGTTGTAATAATGTTAATTTTGAGCGGGAAAGGCCGCTTGAGCAAATGCATATTATTTCATTTAATTTCAAGGAATATATGGTGATATGGTCAATGAAATGGGATCTTCAATTAATGAAATTATGGACCAACTGATTGATCTGAAAATGGAGAAACGAACCCTAGTAATTTTTCTATCTGATCACGGACCCAAGTTGGACGGGTGTGGAGACGGTGGATCTCCTGGCGTATTTCGAGGCGGGAAAACAAGCACGTGGGAAGGAGGAATTCGGGTACCAGCCGTGGCTTGGTGGCCTGGAACTATAAAGCCTGGTATTGTTAGTGACGCTGTTCTTAGTTCATTGGACATTTTCCCAACTGTTTTAAAAATAGCAGGTAATTCAAAAGTTAAAAACCTAATTTTTACTTCGGACAAAATATTGTTTTAAATATTCAGTATAAGAATAATATAGATTCAGAATTTAGTGCATGCAATTAATTTTTAATTTTAACTGAATTGTTTTTAACTTAATTATTTTTCATTCATCTTACTAAAAAATGCAAAAACAATATAGGTTCCAACTACATCGAACGTCATAATTTAACCATAGATGGCCACGTGAATGATGAAGTTATCAAAGGACTTAAATCAGAATCTAATGATGAAACCTTGTTCTTTTACCATAGCGGAGTACTAACAGCCGCCAGGCATCAACAGTACAAAATTCATTTTTATAAATTCCGATTGGCAGGTAAGATGCGGAAATTAATGTCATTGAATTATAGTATTTATATCAATATATATCTAGTATTTATATCAATAATGACATAGTCCAGGGGTCTCCGTCTCCAACACGCGGCCCGCGGGCCGCATACGACCCTCAAAGCAATTTTTGCGGCCCGCGTCGTGATTTAGATTTTTCCCCAAAAAAACTAAAATAGTACGATGTTAACTACGAGTTTGATCGTGTTCATATTTTATTAATAGTTAAACTGTAAATTCAATAATTTTCATTTGGTTCTTATTGTGACGAAATAAACAAGTTTCGGTCAGATCATTGAACTTGAAGTGTGCAGTTATGATCCATTAATTCTGCATATGTGCATGCATCCAAGGAGCGTGAATGTTCGGAAGAGCGCAGAATATTTTATGAGAAATGGGAGGATCTGTGTTTTGTGTGAAATTATAATAACAAGGTTCTTCAGTGTTTCATATGTTGCGCAATTATCGCTGTTCGAACATGATACAACATCCGACGATATTACGGCTCATTACACAGGGGAAAATATCATGTCTATAGTAAAACAATTTGTCACGAAAAGGTATCGCCATTAAAATTTCCACTGATGAAACAGCAATTTTTTTTCTCATATGTAATCATCAAAACTTGTGAAGAGCAAACAAGACTTGTGAAAGCAAGCTTTGCCGTAAGTGAGATGATTACGAAATCCTTGCGTCATTTCGTTGAAGGAAGCTTTATTATATAGTTTATGTTGAAGGCTTGTGAAGTACTTAGCAGCAATTTAAAACAAATGAAAGTTAACAAATCAGCTTTTCGCGCACGACTAACGGACGAGAGTTTTTATGCTGTCTCAAATATCAATTTTGTACCTAATTTGTTGGTTTGCGACTCGCGTTGTCAATAAATTTTGAGTTGGAGACCCCCGACATAGTCGATCCTAGTCAATCCGCGGCCAAGCACGTTGAAATGTTCCTGCTTAATTCAAATATAACAGCAAAGTATTAGGTGAAATATCGGTTCTCATATGCCCAGAGAAAAAAAAGTGGGCTTTTATAGCGGCTTCAATCATCTCGAAGTATTGAACAATTGAAATCGATTTGTGGATTCGATTTTTTATGTCCACACTCATTCGTAGCTAATATCATCGTATCTGAAATGTTGTATGAGTAGAAAATATTTTGGATATTTAATTCAGTGGATATTATGGAGAAACTTGATGAAATGATTCGTTGCGACTATACCAGTTCAACTGTTCAAGATGCAATTTACGATATGGAAACTAAAGCTTCGAAGCAAGATATACCACTCATATATGACATCGAGAAAGATCCCCAGGAATCATTTCCGTTGGATCCAGAAAGTGAAGAATATCAGAAAGTGTTAAAATTGGTTGTTCAACAGGTACAAGCTCACAATGCGAGTATATTGGCCGTAGAATCAGAAATTGACAAACCATATACCAACGATGCTCCATGCTGTAACCCACCTTTATGCAAATGCAACTATAACGAGGAATAACAATTTAGTGATGAAGAAATTTTTGATCTGTAGTATTAATTTAATTTTACAAAACTACTATCAATTTTCACCCTTCAATTTCAAGTACTTCGAGTAGTTGGACGTATAGAAAGAAACAAAGACAGCTAGTATTTCATAATTTTTTTTATCAAAAAGCTCACGATTTACCACAGTAGGTATTTTATTTTTTTGTATTATAACATATATCTCGCCCGGCGAATGCTTGTGTACAAAATTCTAAGAAAAGAAATGCAACTCCAATGTAGCAAATGCACCACACATTAATAGAACCCATTGATGATTGTTAAGCGTTGTAGAAGTTTTCTAGAACTGAATCCACCAAATACAAGTTTAACCAACTGTTTCTTTTTACATTTTATGACAGTAAACACATCTGAGACGTCTTCAATATTTTATAGGCTTTCATAAAGTTCTTACACTGTACGTCTTTGTACGAAGTAGTGTTTTCTCATCTGTGGTTTTGAATGTTCGAGATACTTTTGCTTTTTAAATTTTATTTCCCAATAAACTTTAGGTATTGAGCGCTTCGATTGATTACTCGTGTAATGTATGAAATTATAAGCAAAATAAGCGGCTCGTCGGCCCATATACGATCGACGATTTTATATTTGAAATATTGTGACATGCTATTAGGTAAGTACCTATATTATCAATTTTTGAGTCTATACTGTGCTGTTGTATTGAATGAGCAACTATAAACAAACAGAATTAGCATTCCAAGTTTGGGTGAAGATCGAAATTCCGATATCGACTTTTAGATAAAGAATAATAAAGTGATAATAATAGTAACAAAACTTATTGTTCAAAAGTGAAGCTGGGTTATTACAAGAATCAAAGCGTGAGGAAGTAAAATATCTCAATCGTATAGTTTTGTCAAAGTGAGAAAATAGTGAAGAGACACAACAAGGATATTTTACACAGTTTCTTGTGATTTTAAGCTTTCAGTTTTCTTTTCAAATACCTATCTATTACGCCAAGATGAATGAAGCATGCTTTAGGAATAACGTTAGCAGACTTCCTACTGTTTACAAATCTTACGTTATTTAAGAGATCGTATTGTTGCAAAAAACTCATCATAAAACCAAATACGTGCTCACTGATTTATATTTTGTTGAATTTCTTATCATTAAACATAATTGTGAAACCGCAATCTGACGTGGAACATCTGTAGGTATTTCCTAGAACTTCTATAAAATTGTAATATACTATATTTTGATATATTGTGTGACACATTTAGTGAAAAATCGTGCGCCACCCATGTTAGCTTGAAATCTGTTTGAGTCGTTTTTTCTGTTTTGAACGTTTCACTTGCGGTGGTCCACGAAGAAGAATGGTACTACAGATGGTTTTTGTCTTTGTATATTTCAAAATTTTGAAAAAAGTTAACTGTACAGATACCTATTTATATAATTATAGGTATGGGTTAAAACATAGTAACGTCACAGTTATAATTACGATTTGGTTGCTGTTATTATAAACTAGTCTTTTTTATGGCATTTGGCATTAGAATAGTTTTGTCAAAAATTATTCGAAAATTCTACGTTTTGTTAATTTTTACGTGCCCTTTGCTTTACTGATGGTGAAATACAACGAACAATAATATATATGAAATTTGTGAACACTGAAATCACGAGTCGCGTTTTGATGTTTTATTTTTTAAGCCACTAAGATTTGGTCATCATCCTAATTTTAGTGAGCTATATTTCCCCAGTTCTCAGTGCCTCGCATGTCGCATCACCATGGACATCGATGTTTATTTTTATTCTTTTATTTTTTCTTGCAGAATTGGACGCTCAGTCAGATAAACAGGGTCATGATCGCGTGATCATCAGCTAAAGGACGTTTGGTAAAATTATAGGGGTAAATTTGCAAACCAAATATCAAAATTCATCGCATTTCGGATCGTAACCTTTGTGTCGGCATTGTCCGTCCTTATTACCGTTGTGACATAAGAAGTGGAAGATATCTTAAAACGGGCTGCAAGATTTTTTTTCTGTTCGTATTTTTTTATTTGAATAAAAATTTCCGAAAAGTGGTGACTGAGTATATCAGTACAGTCTGGAGACCGCCCCGTCAGTGTAGCTTTAATGGCAAATAATTGACACTAATGTTATTTCAACATATTAACAATTTAGTAGGTCGGGGTGTCGCGAGATGGAGCGACATCTTGTGAACAACGCTACAGCCCATATTTTATAATCTACGCTCAGCAGCTCACAAGATGTTTTGGGGGTAAGGGGTGTTTATTCTGGACAGAAAGACGACGTATGATAGAGTCCTAACGTTACGAGGAAGAAACTTTGCTGAAAAAGGTATGTGAACTTGGATTTATCTTAATCATCTGCTGAAAGAAATTGACAGAATCGAGACCTCCGTCCGAGCGACGAAATTTTCATGACACGCTGTTCTCAAATCGGTCATATTGAAAAAAAAAACTTTGTATTTTAAAAGGCCACTACGATTGTGACTTCTCTCACCCATTCAAATGGAAGGTATTAACCCAGTATTTACATTATGACCAAATAAGCAGTTAAATTAGCAGTTAAGTGGTCATTGAAGAAGCTCATATGAGCTAATTGGCTGTAAGAGGGACCGTTCAAAAATGACTCAATTCAAATCTGTATTTGAGTACTTGATTTAATATATATATATACTAAAAGATAACAAAGAATATCTTGTTTATATGCGAGTAAAGTTGAGTCAAAATATATTTAATCAATATGACAACATATATATAAAACATTCTATCGTATAAATTCAACGAATAATATATGTATATTTGTATATATCATAACATGGCGTATATATTCAATTCATCCCAGACGTTGCATTTACTTTTCATTGAATTTGTTTCAATTCTTTCTCCTCGATCTGTAAATAGAATGGATTTGTAATCTGGTTCATCGTCTTCTTGAAATCTGTCCCAGTTTATTATGTCATATTCCTTCACTACAGCTTCATTCTGAATGCATTAGAAAGAGGTTAATTGAATGAATGAAAATACATTATGCATCCGTAGAAATAATAGAAAAGTGCTAATCAATTTTGGACTCGAAGAAAAATAATCGTGAAAATTTATCTCAAAACAAAAATTTATTTGTAGACTGAATGAACATGCATGCTGTGTTCCAATACTTGCTTATTTTGTAGGGTCATTCTATACTAACGATAATGTAATGCTGGGTGTTTTCAGTATTTAAAATATCATTGGTGAATGATAACATTTTACAATCTATTACCTCTCCATGTTTTCCGTTAGGATTCCCATGCTTAGCCATATTACTCCAATAGTATTGTACACGATGGGCAAGTTTATATTGCAATTCTGGTTCATTATAATCTGGCATCATCGGCGATGGGTCAAATACTGAGGCGATTTCCGCCCCGTGGCAAGCTCTATCACGACATTCTTCGAATGCCCACACTGACTGTGAATTGGTATAAATTCGTTCATGTTAAATTTATTTAAAGTATTGTACGTAAAGCTGAATCGGGTATGTAAACAATGGACGAGAACCTTCATTTTAGGTTATATTTATATAATATGCAACAAGACTCATACTGTCCTATATTTTACCCGCTTCTTCGATTTGTCATGAACACATAATCAGCAAATTTTATTGACGTTTTGTTTACTACAAGTTACCTTGAAGGGTAATGTTCCATTATACACGTAGAACCAAGAATCTTTACTCGCAACATGGGAGAACAATCTTGCAGGACATTGAAACACATAATCCGCTATTATGTCATTCACTTCATTTGTGTTGTCGCAGCACTGTAGTGAAACAAATGTTTGGCTATGTTTACTATCATTTTTATTTTATTTTTGCATACTGTTTTATCTCAATTTAAGCTACTATAATATTGTCATTGATTTTGGCGCTAAGTCAACAAATCCTGTAATAATATTTTATATGCAATCTACCTAATAATTAGTAAGCATTAAACTGAATTAGGTAAGTTTATATTATTCAAACCAACCAAGACGGATTGCACTGACTGATATAACATTAAAGAGTTTTGATCTATGGTTTCAGGAGAGCATAACAGGCAAATTTATTAAAACGAAAATATGGCTAGGTTCAGTAGTCAACAACTATACGACATCAGGAACAGCTCAGATAATTAACTTACATTAGGTGGGTATATATCCAACAATGCATTTGCTCTTTCGCGAAGTATCGCATCAATAGCCAATTGATAAACAAACTGCGAAACCTTGCTTGAGAATATAAGTTTGACATATTGAAATCCATCATGAGTATTTCCTCCTATAATCATGGGTACCTTTCGGAAATCGCCCTAAAGATTAGGAACAGGAAGAATAACGAATCATAGTTGTGTTTAAAGTTATCTTTAAAACTGTTGGTACTTTTAAACTTGTTTTAAACTATTCCTCCGTGAGTAATACACCGGCAGCTTCCTTTCATTCTACCTTATAAAATTTTGACTTGTTCTTGAATTTACTTTATTACTTATCGATTTTAATCGGTAAGTATGTTGATAGGTATTTGTCTGTCTGTCTGTATGTATGTATGTCTGTTTGTTTGTTTGTCTGTTAGATGCACGCGATATCTCACGAAAGCGAGATTGAATCTGCTCCAGATTTTGCATGAGCAATCATCTTATCTCGGACCAGAAGCCTATTGATTTTGGGCGAATTATGGGCGAGTTATTAATGAATCAGTGATGGGACACATAGTGTCACTTTGGAGCAAGGGCGCTGTTTTGGGGGATCCCCTAACTTTCGATCGATAAGTCTTCGGTCTCTGACCAATATTCTCGTTTCATATTCATTAACTTTTAAGAAAAATAGTTACCCGCTGAAATATACTTATTGGATTTTCATACAACAAGTTGCCGTCAATGACAGGACTCCATTGTTGAGCTTGCAGTAGTATACTTTCTGAGCTGAATAAATCGAACGGCACTCCAACAGAGGCCTTTACTATTTTCGAAACATTTCTGAAATAATAAATACATTGTTATTACGATTTTTCTTTAAAATATAAATCACTAAATATCTTACTGAAATATCTTAAAAAACTCACGTATTTCGAAGACATTTCATATCATGAGGATTACAACCTGCTTTTATAGCGAATTGTGATCCAAATTCTTTTGCAGAAGACATATTCCTATATGGAACAGATAGAGGATTGCTCTCCATTATGACTTGGTGAAAGAGCCCATCACCATATGACGTGGTCAATAAAATACCAATGACTTCAGCTCCGGCACTTTGTCCGCAAGCTGTTACCTGTGAAAACCAGAATGTCATTGACAGTTGCTTTGTGATAACATCAGTAGGTGTAACCACCATAAACCAGGGTTATTTATTATCGGATTCTTTTGTTCAATCAGCGACAGTTTTTTTTCAAATAAACAAATCTGCAATAAAATCTAAAACTATTAAATACCTTATTTGGATTTCCTCCAAAATACTGAATATTACGCTGGACGCTGGACATTTATTATTAAGGAGAATGAATAAATTTTTTCATAAAAATGAATTCTTGTTGTACGTTATCATAGGCCCCTATAACTCAGGTTCCAGACATTTGACACGCAGTAACAATTTTGTGTTATAGATTATTAGATATGAGTAATGAACACAAAATTTTTACTGTGTTACGCGCGGAATAGGCTTTATCTATATATCCCAGAGGTGGGCAATTACTTTTCTAAGTGAGCCACTTACAGATAATAGACATGATTACTGGGTCGGATGTTTAAAACTCAAGATGAAATTATTAATGAAAAATAGTTTATTTACAAATAACAGGCGTCGATAACAATCGCCTGCCTTTTCGTTTCCCTGATGTATTTCAATAGGTATTTGCTGCAAGAGATTCATTGAATAACACTGGAATGTTAGCAGGTGACGTGAGTGTACACAGAAGAATCAGATTTAAGTCCTAAAATTGATGTACTGAACAGAAGGAAAACACATGTGTTGCGGCATTGCAAAAAAGTCCTTGAAGCTTTCTAAAAAAAACTTAATTTCCGGGCCTAAACTCTAGTCTTGGGAGGGACGCCAGAGTTTTAGAACGACGCAAATATTCCGAATGAGTAAGTTCGAGGTATATGTGGCCCTTTTTGCCCATTATTTTCAGGTATGGATAATACAAGGAAAATTGTGGTATGTATTTTGGACAAAAATTCGTCATATTCATCAATATTTTGAACGGAAATTTATATCCATAAAAATTGCAGTCGTAATTTCAGCAGGCAGTAGAGATGGACCGGATGAAACACTTCGGTGGCCCGGATCCGGCCCGCGGGCCGTGATTTGCCCAATCCTGATCTATCTAATCTCAATATTCATCACATTCACATTCAATTGTTGCAGTATGTGAATCCCTCATCCGCCGATTGCGGGTGTATATCTGTCTTGACAACATGGTATGCCATGATTTTTCAAGCCAGTGACGTGTGAATATTCAGTTATTTCTTGCTTTTTTGTAAGGCTATTTTATCTGATAGTTTAAAACACCATAATTTGACCACGCTTTTGCAGGATAAAGTCAGACAGAAAAACTCGTAACAATTACCTGTAATTAGCTGTTACAACAATGACATCTCCTCTATGTGCCAGAAATCGACCGTCGTATATAATTTGTGAACTAGAGCCATGTAAAAAATTTCCGCCGTGAAAATACACCATCACTGCTAATGATTTGTTTCTGTTGTTTTTAATATCGTTGTTTATAATGTAATGATGTCCTTTCATATTGGTAGAGTTATCCCTCTTGACAAGTATTCTTCTTGGTATCCAAATATTCAAGTATAGACAATCTTCCGATGTCTAGAATATTAATCGCATTTTTTTATTTGTGACGAAATATTTTCGCAAAATTAAATTTTGTTTCTTGGTGCAGTGTTCAGAGAGTTTGCAAGTTAGATTTCAATAAAATGCCATATACAAATCTATAGATTGATAGTCCGCAAAGCATGGCGTCATCACGCAGTCAATATTTAAAGTACTGAAGAATCCCATTATTTGACGAATATCTCAAATAATTATAATTTTAATAATACTCAAGAAATAGCATTATAGCCTATTAGAATCCCGATCCCGCACAAACTCAAGAAACTCGATTACGCCATAAAAAATATACTATCTGGCGAAATTTTCAACAATTGGGAATGCAGTATGAAAAGTACAAATACATGATTTACCTCAAAAACACACAGGTATTTGCGTCCTCTCTTATATGGGCAATCTTGGGGACAGCCAGGTCTTTTATACGTAGCGTTCCAGAAGTTGTCTGTGAACCTTCTCCATGGTCTTGGCTTCTTCCATCTGTAATTACCTACCGGTGGTTGACTGAATGGGATTCCCCAAAATATTCCCGCTTCCGACGTAACTTCTCCAACGATATTACCCTGAATGCCTAAAAATACAGATAAAGATAAACTAAATTTATGATTGATCAAATGCAATATAGCACTTTGGGCTTTTTGTTTATTTTAATTTATTTTGCAACAATATACAAATTGATCTAATGATGTGAGTAAGAGATATTGGAGTGTGCATTCAATTTCTACAACTTGATGAAACAAATATCTATAATATTGTCCATTCTAAAATGAGGTAAATGACATGAATCACCTGTTGTGAAAACTTGATATTTATCATTTTTCTGTTGCTGTTTTTCCTGCTCAGATGATGTAACATACGCCAGCTGGATAGACACCAGAAAATACCGAATAAAAATATTTTTCAGATTCATACTCGGGGAATGTTGTGACGTTTATTTATATTATGAATACTATTCAAGACCGTCGATAATTCTAAATAAAGCGTTAAGATAAACCAAATTCAATTTCAATCACAATGATATAGATCAGGGTGGCCAACCTGCTTTCGACCGCGATCGACTAAAATCTTCAAAATAGATCACGATCGACTGATCGGTAATAAGGTCATAAACAAAAACGAATGGGTACTGAATAAAAGCAAACAAACTGCACACACGCACATACCGCTGTCAATAAGAAGGCTTTGTTGGGACATTATTATTCAAATGGACACAAAATTTGCATTTTTTATTTTCCATTCAAGTTGTTGATTTGATTATTTAATTGTACCCAGAGTAAATGTTTCATCATTTATTTAATTAAGATTTATTCAAATCATACAATTCAGATATAAGCGTTAATTTTTAGTGGTGTTGAAAAGAAACCTTGCCAAGTATTCATGTATTATCCGAACAGCGAAAAATAAATATTCCCTAAATCATGAATGTTTCATGACTGCTCAAACTTCAGTATCTAATTTACAATATTCTCGAAATGCGATTCTTCGCTTGCCCCCTAATTAGAACAAATTGGGCATTTTGATGCCGATGCTACCATTGCAAATAAAATTTATCACACTACTCTTGGAGTGAGACAATGACTTTCGTATACTGCAGAAGTTATTGTAGTAACGTTTGTCAGTCTAGACACGCGATATTCGTCACTTCATTTTAAACCTCGGCAGCGGAAAAAATTTGCATTCGTTACGTAATATGCTTTATCGGGCTGTATTCTTCCTGTTGTAAAACACACAACTGGTTCGAGGCAATTTTGGAGGGTATTTCAATAAAATTCACTCAACATCAGACGCGATCGACTGCTCGAGACGTGTTGCCACCCCTGTTATAGATCACTTCAGGCACAATTAATTATATGCTGACATAAATGCAAAACAAACTATTGGAAGTAGTTCATAATACTTGTAACTTTTACCAGTACAACTTCGTACTTACTTGTACAACTTTATTGGGTAGCACCCAATAATGTAAAAAACAAAAGTACTAGTATTGCTGATTATGAAAGTTTGAAAATGATAATTTTTCGAATCAGTTTCCGGTCAGAATATATTGTTCACGATTTTATTGCAAGAGCGATTATTCAATGTCATTTCAAAAAAGTGCGCATACTGCCACAAAGATATATTAGCATATCGATATTTTTCAGGAAGTAGGGACGAACGCTTTAAATTAATAAATTTCCGGTCGTGTTGAATACAATTTGACAAGCTGATAGAGCTTATACCTTCCGATCGCAGTTGATCCTGTTCCTTATGATATATCAAAGTAGAAGTTGTACATCGAACACTGGAAGTTTTGTCACATAAATGACATTTAATAATGAAATCGGGTTTTACTAAAAGTACGCTGCATATCCCTTGCAGTAGAGCGACTATGACACTATCTCGATCCGTGAATAATTTCGAGCAATACTAGGGTAAGATCACGCGATATTCCTTCGAACCATCATGGCGTTACCAACTAAAATTCTAACTTATTATGTCAAACGCCATGCTGCGGTTCACGGGTTAATTCCACCCTAAAGTGTTTTCACTGAAATTACAAGCCCTAGCCCCTAGTACAGTCAATGACCGAAAGATAATTTTCATATCAAACGTTCTACCCACAAATTTAAATACAATTCATATTCGAACATATGAAATTTTAATCATTAATAACGTACGGCTTTGAAACTTTGATGTATTGAAGCAGAAATTTCCTGAAATAATCGAATTAATTAATATAGAAACCCTGTATCAGGAATATTGCCCTAAAATACACTCTCCTAATCTCCTTTATGCCACATATGTCATTTGAACTTTCTGATTGGTTTCATTTTGCTAATTCTAATTATTCTTTCATAGATGTTTTCATATATTCATCAGTCTTCGAAACATATACTCAACAGTTCTATCTGTACTTGATTCTTGTCGTCGTATTATATATCTTAACAAATATACGAATATTCAAAATTGGAAAACATTAATTAATCACATGTCAACTATTTCCGTACTTTGCTAATCTCTGGAGCACACGTTTTCAGTCTTACAGAAATGTTGCCCGATAAAAGGTATCGTATTTGTGATCGTGTTAAGCTTGGCACTGGGCTCAGTTTCAGCATGACGTCTTTTCTCGCAACAAAGGGCGCTACAATTCCAACAAAGTTATGAACTGTTAGGTGGCAAACTTGTACTTTCTCACTTGCAAAATTCACTATACATGCAGGCAAAATCCTCCCCTCCAGTGAAAAATTAAACCCCGCAGTTGAATATAGCTAATCTAAATCATCGAAATAAAATGATTTTTTTGAAAACTTTGCCTTTTTTGTAGAGAAGATATAATGTATATGCGATTTTTTTACTCAGTGGAGTTACATTATGATTTTTGTTTACATACAATAAAAAATCTAATTTTGAGCTAAAATGTAACGAGGGCAAAGGTCAGAAAAAATAAAAATGAA